CTATCTATCTATCTATCTATCTATCTATCTATCTATCTATCTATCTATCTATCTAGCTATCTCCCCACCCTCCATCTAATCTATAGGCAATTCTGTCCAAGTAAAACGTATTTTGTATCTTGCCACATTTCAATTTCACTTTAATCGAGACATATGGAAAAGTGTGTAATAATACTGACTCAAGTTATTACTAAAATATCTCCAACTGTACGTGCTCCCATAGTTTTGTTGATATCATGCTGGATTACGGAGCGAATGGTCTTTGTTTGAAACCCAAGCGGGTCTCCTTGAGTCCGGGTCGTTCTGGGGAGATTTTGAGACGCTCCGACCAATTCACTTGGTCCTATGGGATGTGGGCATTAAATTCAGAAGCCCGGATTCTTTAAAAAAAACCAAAAACTTACGGTGTTGAATGAGACGTTGAATCCATATAAAACAATAACAAAAACAAACAAAACAATTTCCTACCATGCGGCAAAAAGAGTGGCTTACCTGCATCCTGTTATCTAGACATGCGTGGTGAAGAGCCGTATTTCCCTCATCATCAGCATCTGCCATAAGGTGTAACAACTGTTTCTTCTCTGAGGAATCTTCGAGAATATGCAACATACGATCAGTCACTGACAGACACAATCCTTTATGAATTTTCACTACAGATCATCCAATAGCACAATTATTTAGAAGACAATAATTTAGGTCTAATACTGACATTTCTTCACAAAATGTCTGTTTATCAAAATAGTTTTAGAAAGAGTTTTATGGCACTTGCAACGCAGTAAGATCTAATGAGGGCTGGAGAGTAAAAACACGAAAAGGAGGGGATATAAGGATGGTATGTTTAATAGGAAAGAAGGAGCAATTACCTGTTAGTGATGATTCGCTTGATTCACAAAACACCTCTGATAAATGAGTGTGCGGCGATTCTTTCACAGGAAAGAATTACTGGGAGAGTGGGTGGAGCTTTATTTTTGTCACATTTATCACAAAATATAAAACGTTTGATAAAAGTCAACTTCGGCATCACGTTCATGAATAAATTTTTTAAAACTTCAATAGCTGATAACACCCCGTACCCCCGCCCCCTCACTCCCCCACCCCCAATTTCTGAAGACCTTGTAAGTAGGTCAAGTAAGTTCGGAATGGAGGGCTGCAGTAGAGCTATACGATACATTTTGTACTGTTACCTGCTTGGAGTAGTAAGGTCATGATGTTGATGTGTCCCTGTCGGCAGGCCAGGTGGAATGGTGTTCCTTTGCGAAAGTCCTTCACCCGGGGTTTCGCTTTGTGCATCAGCTGGAATAATGTGTTTGTTATTAATTTGTTTGTTTGTCTTTTTAAAAAAT